CTCTATTACGTATATATTTATGTACTTATATGAGAACACTGTAAGTATCTAAATATATGGACTCAATCTCATCAGACTATCCCTGACTAGTATCTAAAGACAAACAACAAGTTATATTGGATCTTGCGAAGGAGTTGTACACCACACTCGCTTGATCGAAGAAGGAATTATACGATAGTTATATAGTATTATATAACTAAATTGTAGATAGTTTTTGCGCGATTATCTTGCAATTGACTAAACCGATTTTGATGCGGTTGTTAGAAAAATATTTGTTACACTTAAGAGAAGTTTTTCGTATATTAATAAACGACCTCCAAAAAGGGCGTCGAAGCTGGTTTCTATACATAGTTAATGAAATAATATATAATATATTATTCTATAGAAATAAAATTCTTGTTGGAAAAAGGCCAAAGAACGGGTACATCAATCAAGTTTTCTATAATTTTACTATTTAAACTTTCAATTTACAAACTGCGTAAAATAAAATGCGTCGTCAAATTTAATCGAAAACTAAATGATTCAACAGATAAAGAAAGGTTTAGGTAAACGCATTTTGTGTACATTACATTCATATGTGAGCAGAATACATAACATTTGAGACTGAAAAAGGGTTGATTTGAATAACAATAAGGTTCTAAATTGCGTGCTGAATAATTTAGGATAGACATTTAATTTTAATTATTTTAATTATGTATTATTTAGACTACAGATACACATGTATGGTTAACTGTGCTTACTAGGCAGAATAATACTCAGAGGACGTGAAATGATTAGGCTAGGATGGGGAGTAGTAGGATAGCTTTTGTGACTTAATTCTGCCTACCCACTCATTCACTGCGTTCAAATGCGTCATCTGGACTATTGTTAATCTAATTCTAGTTGCAAGGACTAGAGCCAAGGTCGTAAGTGAGGTCTGGGTTTATTTCTGTAAACCTATAGGCGATGATGGTCTGACAGAAATAAAATAGGTTTAATTCTATTTTATCTTTAGGTCGTGCACCTTTACCATCCTCCTTTTTTGGGTAAGCTGGTAAATGAACATACGAATAGTAAGCAATCGGCGTCGCCCATGGACATCAGAGACGTTACAAGTGCGTTACCGGCCTTTTGGGGATTAGGAATTAGGATTGATTAAGGGGATTGGGAGATTAGGGAAGGAGAGGCGTGTAATTGGGCTTCCGGTGGCCTCATTCACATGACGAAACACAACGCGAGCGCTGTTTCACGTAGCTTTTCTGTGAGGCCGTGGTATCACTCTAGTCCAGCCGGCGCGGCCCATTCGTGCCGAAGCATGGCTCCCCACACATCTCTAACCACTCTATAAAAATTATTGGCATAGTCATAAAATCTTTAGACTACTTATAGCAATATTATCGAACATTATTAGCAATAAAGACTCACAATATTCTTAGAGTACGTGTAATCACACTTAAAAAGGAAACCTCATATCCTCACCCAAGCAAAAATAACGAAAAAGATTACTACACTTAAGAGTTAATATCGCTTGAGTTACAATGTGTAATTTAGCAGCCGTTTTAATATAGAATGTGCTTCTCTCTAACTTTAGGACGCATGAATACATACTTTTCGATGTTTGATATGAAAAAATAGACATTCTCTAAATAAACGTAAGCTTTAAAATAATATTGTAAGTACTGTATTCTACTACTATCTTTTGGATTTTATACACCTTCATTGTGTTTATTTTTTCTAATAATATGAGCCGAAATTATGTCATCTCCCTTTACAGAAAGATTGTTAAGAACAATATACTTCACTAAGCGCTGAATTCGTTAAATTTAGGGTGCTGTACTAGTTACATTGTCAAAATTATTAGATGGATGTTAAACTGGATGGTTCATTTATCTGTCGCATATTTCAAGTATCAACATCATCATTAGATGGAACAAGTCCACCGCTGACAACCGTTCAACAGTTTGTATGCAACAGCTGCCCACGTGTGACAATGTCCTCTGTCCATATAGCAGGAAGCCTGCTTACCCTATGTCTTAGGCGATACAGATCACACTCCCACTCCTTCACGACCCTGTGCTAATACCGCATTGACATTGGTCACGTGTGAGTCCGCCGAGTCGTACATCAATCAGTGTATCTACCATTCATAGACAAAAACAAAGTAATAGGAAAAATATAATTCAGTATATAGGCTAGGTTCACTGCTTAGTTAAGAAAATTATCTTAAAAAATCCGCGTTGACTGAAATAATGCCACGATTTCATAGAAAATTGAAACTCGTGTTGAGGTGAGGTTCCAATTCTAACCCCCTCCCATCAAAGGTTGACGACGCACTTGTAACTTTCTATGCATTGCGAGTCTCATCGGTGATCTATATGCTCATATTCTCTCCAGGCCCAAAGAAATTTATATATCCACTGACTGCACGGTTTGACGGTTGGTGCGGTGGCTGGATAACGGAACAAGTCTTTGTGTGATCTACAGGCTGTTGTTCCGGGTCTAGGTGTCATTGTATGTGAACTTCAATGTTAGTAAACGCACACATGACACAGGAGAAAATTCTAGTGTGGAGCAACCTTCGAGCAACGTAAGAAATATATTAAAATAAAATTTGACGCTCCTAAAATCTCATACACAACAGTATCATGCTAGCATCTTGTAACTACCGACGCCGAAAGTTAAGTTGCAAGGTACTCAGATTGCTTTCACAAGTTTGACATCATAACTATACTTACCTTAGTAGACGAACAACACCTGCTGATGAATTAGTTCGCGCAAGATGTTTGTGTTGAGTTAGTATTTAGTTGTTCAACTCACGTCTCTAGCCGTCCTAAATTGTGTGTATGAGCTTAGACGCTTATGAAGTTAGTATCTGTTAAGTAATTACTTGAACATCTTGGGAATAATTATTTATTAATACCTAGTTAGCGTTGCTTTTATGGACTATTTATACTGTAGACATGGGCGTCTAATTTGAAAGCCTGTAATCATTTATGAAAATGCTATTGAAATGCTTATTAAGAACAGAACTAACTGTGGGTATGCTAAGTATCAAATGCAAAGTCCATTTCGTGGTCATAAAAGTAACTTACAATTTCTAAATACTTACTAGCATTTTTTAATGAAATAGGAGGAAAACGAGCTGACGGATCACCTGATGATAAGCGATCAGCGTCGCCCATGGACCTGCAATACCAGTGGAGTCACAGGGGCGTTTCCGGGATTTTGAAAAGGAAAGGTCCTTTCTTGAAGACTTGAAGTAGAGGTAGTATCGGTTCGGAAATACCGCCGAGGATAGATCATTCCACAGTTTAACTCGGCGAAGCGAAAAGTTCCGAGAAAAGAGTACAGTTGCGGCCTGCCAACCATCTAGGTACATGATCGGGTTGAAAATGCTGTCCTGTGACACGATGGCAAAAAAGACGGGACAGGCATCAGACCAAACAATTCCTTGGAGCACTCCTCGTGGTATAAGCGATGAAACATCCACAGTGAAGCCACGCATTGCCAAAATGTCTAGCCGGTTGTAAATGGTAATCCGAAGTCCAGAGGAAGATACTCGCCACCGCCCAAAGATGAGCACAGTATTCTATCATTCCGCCTCATATAAAAGCAGGCGATGGGCCGGGCTGATATATTGCCTCGCCTACACACCAAGTTTCTTCGAAGCTAATATGGCCAGCCTTTAGGTAATCGCGGAATTGAACGTCTCTTGAAATGTCGACAACAAGTATTTATATAAGCAGTTAGGGGGCTTCTTTGAAACTGAGGAGAGACGACCAACGGCAGTTTCTTAGCGATAAATACACAGACCTTTACCGCATACATTTGGTTACTATGAATATGTAAGAAATTAGAAGTTATAACTACCAAAACATAATATTCTATACCCCTGCCTACCCTTTTTTGCTTACAAATATATAGTAAGGCAAATATTCATTCGAAATAGTAAACACAAATTGCCTACATCTACGAGAAGCCTGAGATATTCGCCTAGTTTCAGCTTCATTTAGGCAGAACATTTCGCATATATGCATTTCGTCAAAGAGAACTAGTAATTCGTATGAATGCACTGAAGCAGGTAGTACTCGGTAATATGGAAAGTTCTATGTGGTTTTACGTTGAATCAATTCGACCCAGAAATTCAAGTCAATACTAAAGACTTAGGAAAGGAAAATTCCTAAAGTTAATAATATTTACATATCAATATTTAATAGAAATAACAAGATTTCACTACAAACGATTTTATATTTCTCCTTTAGTGAGTAGTACTACTAAGCATAACAAATTGTCGCCTCACTATTCAGAGAAGCGATGACAAATTATAGTGAAGTACAGTCCGACATAGATAAATATTCAGATGATAAACAATTTTGCCTAAAGAACAGAACGCCTTTTATATTTTTTTTAAACGAAATTTCGTCATCGTACGAATAATGTGTCGTAAATTACACTACTGACAAATGGTGAAGCAAAACATCGTGAGGAAACCTCGCCAACTTGCATTAAGCAAGCGTGGTGATTAATGCTCAAACCTTCTCCGTGTGAAAAGAGGCTTTGCACAACAGTGGACATTTATAGGTTAGGTATTGATGATAATAATGAACTAATCTGTACAATTCTAGGTGGGTTATCTAACAGTAATGGCAACAATAGGTACCAAATAAAAATACCAAATAGCCTGAAATTTCACTTTATATACATTAATTTACCTTATGTACAAACTGATCATTAACAAATGATATAAGTTATTCCATACAACAGTATAAAATTAAATATATTACATAGTTTACACATAATTATAAGTTATCCGAATAAATAAATTACTTACAGCAATTGAAGAATATAATTAAGACTATATTTTGACTAGATTAGTTACATTCTTACAAAATATTAGAATTTTTTACAGCACTGAATAATTAGGCTAAGCTAAAAAAAGTGTTTTCTTTATTCAAAATTTTATTTACTTACGTGAAACGTGAAACGTGACTAGTTTCAAGCCAATCATGATGCATTCCGCGATACACGAAACAGCGACTGTCGCGCTGCTGCAAGTTTTATTTATTTAAACACAACTTATTTTACATTTCAGAATCATCTCAATCGTTGTCACTGTATCATAACCTGTCTTTACTACCAACAGATGGCGTTGATCCTATAAATAAGTGACATCTACTTTTTCTTTGAGGTACCTATAAGTTTCTACAAAATACCTCACAAAATACTTCTTCACATTTCGAGATCGTGTTCTTAAAACTAAATTATATTTACGACTTATTTTAAGAAGAAAACACAAAAGCATAATACCTCTAAGTCATTGATTAAAATTACAATAATCTCGAATTTTAATTAACTTTGCGCGTTCCCTGTATTTAAAAGCTATTTCAATAACTTGTATGCAATGCCATCTAGCGACAAAAAATTATTTTCAAAAATTCAGATCTGTTGTACAGCCTGAAAATAATCTTTCTTATAGCGCCACCTAGGGGAATTTACAAAGACTAAGCTACAGAAATAATAAGTTCGAATGCTGAATAGAGATGGCGCTTATATATTGTCAGTAATTGTATTACGGAATTAGAAGGGAAAGCTTTATAATTATAATTTAGCAAAGTTTACAGACTATTTAAAAGAAGCTTCCTATATTTTTAAGTCATTAATTATATCACCATTGCTCTCCATATTTCGATAAAAAGTGTTAAAAGAGTAAATTTTTGCTGTTTAACTCGTCGAGTACCGGTATTGTAGACACAATTATAGAACAATAGGTTGCGGTCACCGGTGACCGCTTGGTGTTTGACAGTTTAAAGAACTTCTAACAAGCCTGATGCGGGTCATTTTTGTCGTTATAATTAAGTTTAAAAATATTATATTGATTCTCACATTTAATGTCGTTTATTACAAAAATTGCGGGGTCTTTTGGTATCTGTCCTTCCATCCGTTATCTCTAAAAGATGCGGTTCTGTTGGCCCTGCCATATTGTATGCTCGGAGGTCCGGTAGCGATCCTTCCTATTTGGTTGTTGCTGCTCCTGAAAGTTACAGTAGTGCAAGTCCTCATGCTAGACGTGTTGGATTTTTGACGTAAACCTTGCATCTGTAAGAAGAAAATTGTATTATGTATCGGTACGTATCGATATTTCAGTATGAGTGGTATTTACACTGAATTTCGAGGCATGATAACTAAATATACTAGTCTAATAATTTTATTTGACATTTATAAACATTTAATGATGATTAACTAAAATCGCGGGTTAATACGTAAATATACTGAGAAAAACTCTACTAGTTTCGAACCACAGAGGGGGTTTCTTCTTCATGAGCAGCGTGCGCGGTCGCGGCGATGTCGCGCAGCTCACTGGGAGCTGCTGAAAGAACCCCTCTGTTGTTCGAAACTAGTAGAGCTTTTCTCAGTATAATCACGTGAGTAACCCGCGATTTTAGTTAATTTAGTGTGTCACATGATTGTTATTATAATAATAATATAAATATTTCAAATTGACTGATTTAGTCTGGAACTTTGTATATTAATATCTTATTATTACTTGCTAAAAAAATTGCATGCCATAACAAGTGGTAAACATGTATCAAGTGCAACTATTGTGTTTTTATCATCCAACATATACACGCAGATGTATATTCTTGCGATTTGATAATATGTATTACATATTTACTAACTACGTACTCGGTTCTACTGAAAAAAATACATTTATACGTAGGTATAAATAGTAGGTGTATTCATTTAAATAAATCTCTCCTTTTTTGAACTAAACCAGAGCCAACAATATTAGATAAGAAAAAAAAACATAAACAACTTTAAAGCTTACCAACAGAGTTCACATTTGATTGAGTCAACAATTTATTAATGCTTTTGCAATGGCAAACTGAACTTAATATTCAAAATAACAAGATTAACTTTTGTATAGTTGCTGTATTAACAATGTTATCTCGTTTCAGCTCTATTTTAGTTGTCTGTTTCATAGATGAAAATAACAAAATGTTTGGTTAAACTAATTAGTGCTAGTTTGGTACAAAAGTAAAGTTTTAGTGAATAAACTAACTACAGTCTTATAGTACAAGTTGACTATACAATACTAAAAGGTCAACTAAGCAACTACTACACTACACAACTAGGTTCGGTTAGTTTAGTAAGTTTAGTTAATAAATGTACGCATTAATTAAATAAAAGGATTTGCTTTTTTTTGTTTATTTTTATTTTTATTTTCAGATATATTTAGATATAAAAGTTTCTAAATTTGAATAGAGACAAACGTCTGAATTGATTTCTTCGTCCTTTTTACTTGGGAGTTTAAAAAGAAATTCACAATGACATATTAACAAATGCAAAGTTCGGTAGACGCTTATTAAAAGGTAATGTGTATGTAAGTAGAAGAGAATAGAGACTGTTTGACCAAAGATTTTAGTCAAAAATTAGTAGAAGAAAGTATTAACTTTGTGGGTTATTCAATATTGACTTTATCGATGTTTTTCTGTAAACTTACATGGAAATGAGTACTAGAGTGTATGTTACCCGGATCGTGGCAGATGAGCTTGCGCAGAGACCGGCGAAAGTTGCGCGTCATCAGGCAGTACACGATAGGGTTGATCGCCGAGTTCGTGTGCCCTGAAATCATGGGAAATGTGCTATAAGTTTATGTATACATACATACGTAACATCACGCCTTTTATGTCCGAACGGGTAGACAGAGGTGAACATTACGGCACATATTGCCACTGTACAATGTAACACTGACTTTTCACATTATATTATTATGTTATGAGTCCCATGTAATAGGGGGTGAGCCTATTGCCATATACCGTGCACAATTCCAGACTCCATGCTGAGATTATTTTTTTTAAAACCCTGTTATACTGTGCCTTACTCGGGAATCGAACCCAAGACCCCTTGCCGGCAGCCAGGTATTATGATGATGATTATTATGTATACAGAGTTTTAAATAAAATAAATAGTTTGTGCACGGGTTTCACAAGCAGAACATTCTCATTCAAGGAGGTAAGATGAATTTCCAATATAACCTGACCTTTAGCTCCATATAAATTATATTCAAAGGAAGTTCATATTATTATAGTTAAAGGTATGTTATTAAGGTAAGAGTATGTAAGAGTATGTTAGATTGGTGTAGCAATTGGTGTTTCATAGTGCCTAGCTATACGCGACACAGGTGTGAGGTTATATATATAATTATATCACTAAGAAACTATATGTTACTAGACTTTGGGATTGACCTACTGCTAGAATATTTTAAATATTTAAATTCATAATTCGGTATTTATTTCTAACTAAGGTAACTTAATAATATAAGCAAGTTTAAGTAAGTAGTTGTACAAACTACTTAATGAAAATATAATTTGTTTTGTGAGTTACTTTAAAAGTCTCTTTGGAGTATCTATTACAAACTTGTTAATGTTTTTAATTTATTAATTTTCTTTATTATAATTTTTTCGGTGTATTGTCTACTGATTGCAAGGTTAAAGAGTTTATTGTGTATTAGGTTAGCAGAAACTACAGGGATCTAGTCTCTATCACATTTTTACATAATAATAATGTTATTTACATTCAGTGCGTATGTCTCTCAAATTACACTCCTGGTACTATACATTACATCGTGTTATATAGTCGAATAGCAAAATAAAGAATTTGCGTATGCTACCTAAATACTGAATTGTCAGTTGTGTGTATAAGCTGATTTTTGTTTATTGGGATATGCCGTAAACGAGCGGACAGATCACCTGATGGTAAGTAATCGGCGTCACCAGAGGCGTTGCAAGTGCGTTAACGGCTTTTAGGGATTATGAATTTGAGAACTGTTGAGGATCCAGGGTTTAGGGAGATTGGGGCTACCGGTAACCTCACTACTCCGGTATCAGACGAAACGCAACACAAGCGTTATTTCACGTCGGTTTTTCACGAGGCCGTGGTATTATCACTGTGTTCGAGTCGGCCCATTCGAGCCGAGGCATGGCTCTCCCACACTCGAATAAAGTAAGTTGGTAATATGAACA